GGGATTTGAACCCTGGTCTCCAGAGTCCTAAATCCATCACTCTACCCACTACCTCACACGGAGTGGAGATTAACTGAGATTCAGGCTTGGCCAATCAGCACCATTTCCAGGTTTCCTTCCCCTCCCATATAAGTGGAGCAGGAAGACTCAACTTCAGAGCCAGCCTTGAAGAAGAGGAGACTGAGTCGTTCCTAGTCCCATCTTACCACCAGGAATTCAACCGCTGGCTGCTCGCAACTCTCCTCGATCTCCTGAATTATATTTTTCAAAGAGGTGACTTCCTCTACGAGTTTAGTCAGGTGGGTTTTCCTTTTCTTGGCAATCTCTTTCTGCAGCTGTTTTATCTGGTCCAGCAAATAACTCTCCTGTTCTTCCAGGAAGGCATGTAATTTTTTGAAGTCGGCCACTGCCTTTTCCTTTTCTGTTTGTAATCTTTTCTGTAGGGAAGAGAAAAGAAACCAAACACAGGAGTGTCTATAACTAAGTGTCGCAGCCTTTCTTTATGGGTTCTCCATGGGATTTCTGTAGGAAGCACTGCTTCTGGTTTTTGATGGACTGCAGAAGGACAGTCCTACGTTCAGTTTTTTAGCACTTTCTGCAAAAAAACAAAACAAAAGGGGAAGGCAGAAAGAAAAACAGCATCGGAAACCTGTAGCATCATGGTAGGCTACAGGTTATGAGAATGATACATGAAGAAAGACAGTTTCACCCAGTGGTTGAACTATTCGACTGGGTTATTGGTTCCCAACCTTGAGTCCTTAGATGTTCTTGGACTAAAACTCCCAAAAGCCTTCATCGCTAACTGTGCTGGCCAGGATTTCTGAGAGCTGTAGTCTAAGAATATCTAGGGACCCAAAGTTGGGAAAAATTGGACTAGGACAGTGATGGTAAACCTTTTTGAGCCCGAGTGCCCACATTGCAACACAAAATCAACTTATTTATTTCAAAGTGCCAACACTGCAATTAAAACCCAAATGCCGAGGTTTTAGTTTAGAAAAAAACAACTGGTCCTGGTCTTTAATCTGGAAGCCCCTTTAGAACAGCCCACTCCTACAACAGCTTTTATGTAATGGTTTCTTGTGGCATAGTGGCTAAACTGCAGTATTGCAGTCAAGAGTCTACTCAACAACCTGAGTTTGATCCCGAAGGGTTCAGGAAGCTGGTTCGAGGTTGACTCCGTCTTCGATCCTTCTGAGGTCGGTAAACTGAGTATCCAGTTTATGGATGGGGGCAATGTGTAGCTTACATAATTAAATTATAAACCTCCCAGAAAGTGCTTTAAGCACTATAGGGCAGTATATAAGCAACACACCTTGCTTTGCTTTACTTTCTGTGGATATTGGAGCATGGTGAATAAAATAGTCAGAGCTGTGCTGCCTTGTAGCTGGGAATTCCTCTGTACTTTCTGTTCTCTCTTTTTTTCTTAGATCAAGTATTTTTCTATATCCCAATGAAAGGAAGACTTACAAGCAGGTCTAGGGTTTCCTTTTCTGCATCTGCTGGACTCATCTCTGTTTTTGATCTCTTCTCCTTCAAAGCCCTTAGACGGCGATACAGCTTGTCCTGAAGGGGTGGGGGTAGAGACACAACAGAAACACATCTTAACTTATCCATTAATCCTTCCTTCCTACCCTTCCTTCATTTATTTATTTAAAACAACATATTATTAAACTTGCACACACCCCAGTCTTTAAAAATGAAACAAAACAAACAAACAGAACCCTACAAGGCAGCCCATAGAATAGTTAAACCTCTTAATGCAATTTAAAAACTACATACAGTAGTGCCACGCATATCGATGATAATCCGTGCAGCAAAAATTGCCGCTATGCGGATTTGTCGCTATGCGGGGGGAAAAAGCCCATGGGAATGCATCAAAACCTGTTTAATGCATTCGTATGGGCAAAAAACTCACCTTAATGTGAAAATCCTCCATACAGCCGCCATTTTCGCTGCCTGATAAGCGAGGAATCCGGGCAAAAACACAGCGAGCGGCCATTTTTTTTTAGCCTGGTGGCCATTTTGGAACCGCCGATCAGCTGTTGGGAAATCATCGCTATGCGAAAATCGGTAAGCGAAACAGCTTGCTGATCATCACAAAGCAATATTTTCCCATTAAAAACATCGCAATGCGATCGCAAAAACGATCACAAAACCTTAATCGCTATGCGGATTCGTCGTTAAACGGGGCGCCTGTTAAGCGAGGCACCACTGTACTGTATTCTGCAGAAAATGAAGAGGTTCCCCTCAACCAAGGAACTAGATGGTTTTCTACCTTGTATCCTTTGACTGCTTCTTCTGCCAGCACCACTTTGTGTGATTTATGTTCTGGAGATCGCTCACAAATCACACACAGCAGCTCCTCGTCATTCTCACAGAACAGGTTGAGTTTTTCCTTGTGTTTTGGACAAAATAGGTCCTTCTCTTCTTCTAATGATGGCATTTGTTTGAGTTTATCCACGATGCTTGCCAGCTGCTGGTTTGGCCGAAGCCTCCCTTCCTGGATCGGTGCTCCGCAGACGGGACATTTCAAAAGCCTGCTTTGCTCTTTCCACGCCACGTAGTAGTCAGAAATGCAGAGCCGACAGAAATTGTGACCACATTCCATGAGCACGGGGTCGGTCAGAAGCTGCCTACAAATGGGACACAGAGCATCCTCTTTTAAATCCACAATGGATACAGATTTGGCCATGATGGGTGGAATCTCTTCTCTTGGCTTGTGTGGTCCTCTGTCCAACGAAAGAGTGTACTACAGCAATTAGCCTGGAGGATGAAAAACCGATTGCGAAATCAATATTTAACAAACTTTCTGTCACGGTTTTTACTTGGAGAGTAAGTGGATGAGGTAGTTGGCTGGATAGTTCAGTGACTTGGGTCTCTGGCTGTGGAGTCAGAGGTTGGTAGTTCGATTCCCCCCCCCTCGGTGCCTTCTGCAAGTAAAGCCAGTCTTTACTTACACAGCCCCAGGGCACCCCCAGGAGATGGGAAGGGTCCACCACTTCTAAGTATTCGCTACCTAGAAAACCCTGGAAACGGTCAACATAAGACGTAATTGACTTGATGGGACGTGATTATTATTAAGTAGACGAGGTTTGTAAAGCAAGCTGGTGATCTTTAGATGTTTCATCTAAGATTTCCATCAGGCCCCAATAAATAAATACACCATTTATTTATTTATTTATTTATTTATTTATTCATTCATTCATTCATTCATTCATTCATTCATTCATTCATTCGATTTCTATCCCACCCATCTAGACCAAAGGTCTACTCTGGGCGGTTTACAGATATTATAATGTAATGATAGTGACAGATTTTACTTTCTTGGACGCCATGATCACTGCAGAGGGTGACAGCAGCCACGAACTTAAAAGACGCCTGCTTCTTTGGGAGGAAAGCGATAACAAACCTCGACAGCATCTTAAAAAGCAGAGACATCGCCTTGCCGACAAAGGTCCGCATAGTCAATGCTATGGTTTTTCCAGTAGCGATGTACGGAAGTGAGACTTGGACCATAAAGAAGGCTAACTGTTGAAGAATTGATGCTTTTGAATAGTGGTGCTGGAGGAGACTCTTGAGAGTCCCTTGGACTGCAAAGAGAACAAGCCTAGCCATTTTGAAGGAAATCAACCCTGAGTGCTCACTGGAAGGACAGATCCTGAAGCTGAAGCTCCAATGCTTTAGCCATCTCATGAGAAGAGAAGACTCCTTGGAAAAGACCTTGATGTTAGGAAAGCGTGAAGGCAAGAGGAGAAGGGGATAACAGAGGATGAGATGGTTGGACGGTGTCATCGAAGCTACCAACATTAATTTGTCCCAACTTCGGGAGGCAGTGGAAGACAGGAGGGGCTGGCGTGCTCTGGTCCATGGGGTCACGAGGAGTCGGACACGACTTAACAACTAAACAAAACGATAGCCCAAAACATCTATACTGCATCAAATTTATGCAGGTAGTTCTAGACTTTTGTTTCATTGTTGGTACCAGTGGCCAGGGAATGTTTAATTAAGTGGCTGTTTTCAAGCAGGCACATTTCTCAATTTAATGTTTAATCTGTTCAAAACTTTAAGTAAAGCAAATGGCTTCCCCTCCCCCTTTCTAATTAATGAGAAAAGGAGTGTTCTACTCTGGGGAACTTGAAACTATTCGGTTTTGTGAATCCCTGCACTTCTGCCCCACAGCCAGAAATTCTAAACTGTGCAACAATATTGCCTTCTAGCATCTCTGTGCCCACCCACCCCCCAGCATGCCCACAATTTAAAGAATTAGTTCAAAATTTCCTTTGTGCCTTCTGGAATCATGGGGACATTTTTGCCATGTCCTGAAGACCTACTTACCAGTGCCCCCGAGGTTGTACACACACACACACTTTAAAAATGGCCACAAGGGGCATGTAAAAAAAGTGAGGTGATGGGAGACTGTAGCCCCCAGGGCTCAAAGATCAGCATGAACATCACTGGACCTTTTAAGGTTCTCCATCCCACTAGAGACAAAGGCCGGCTAATCCCTCCCTGAAGTCTCCATTGCATTTAACTGCTTGTGCTGGCTTGGAGCAGAAGCGCCGAGAAACATGGCAGAGTCACCCGCCAAAAAGTAGAACAGGGGAATGGCCGGCACATTTAAGGCACTGAGGGATTCCAGGCCAGGGTTTATTAGTATTTATTGGTCAGCTCCCTTGCTAGCAACCATTGGTCCAATGGGCAATTTAGAAGTTAATCAAATGTCTATGAATCTCCCCCTTTATCCTCCTAACACCCTTGTGAGGTAGGTCCCTGATTGAAAGAGAGCAAGTGACCGGCCTGAGGTTATCCGGGGAATTTCAAGGTTCCGTGAAGAGATCAGCCAGGATTTTGGGGATCTGGGTTGCCTAGATATAGCAGTGAAGGGATTGAAACGCGTCGCCTAGTAGCACCAGCAGACTTATCTATCCTGTGATGCCTACAACTTAAGGTCACAAGCTTTTGAACCACAAAAAAAGCTTTGCATTCTCCCAAATGTACTGCCCCTCATGAGGAGGACTGCCCCAGTTGGACCCTCGTTGCCACCTTTTCCTGCTCAAAAGCATCTCCCCCGCAAGTGGTAGCAACAGGTGGACGTTGCCACTTTCACGGTTACAATGGAAACACAAGCCACTTTGCTGGCGCAAAGACTTAGCAGCACCCTGCTCTTCAGCTTGAAGTCTTTCTCTCAGAGGAGAGTGCAGATCAATGCTTTATTATTATTAATAATAATAATAATAATAATAATAATAATAATAATAATAATAATAATAATAATAATAATAATAATAATAATAATAATAATAATAATAATAATAATAATAATAATAATAATAATAATAATAATAATAATAATAATAATAATAATAATAATAATAATAATAATAATAATAATAATAATAATAATAATAATAATAATAATAATAATAATAATAATAATAATAATAAAGGAAAGTTACAAATAACAGAAATAAAACCAAAATACAGACTCAGGAGTGACTTCAAATCATACACAATAAACATGACCCCCCATGTCATCTTCACCCTAACAGAAATAAAACTAAAATACAAACTCAAGAGTGACTACACACAATAAACAGGACCCCCCCACCCCGTGCCACCTTCACCTTTCGGACTAGGTGACCCATAATATCAGTTTGTACCTTTTTTCGCCCCATTCCTCTTAAAACCCAGCCTCTGCCCCCAAAATGACAGCCTGATACAATATCCAAGGGGGAAAGGGGGTTGGAAGGAAAAGAAGAAAACTCACATTATCAGATCTTGGTGTGGAAAGGTCACCCGTAATACAGCTAGAAGTTGCTGGTCTTGTTGTAACCGGATAGAAGAGATGGGGGGGGCAACAGTCCTCCTTCCCCAGATGACCTGCTTCCTACTGCACCCTTATCGCTGCAGCTTAATTGAATTTCTAGTGGGTTGGCTGATGAGTATGACAGGCAATGCTTATTGTAGTGGCCTCTCCAGGGTGTGATGGTAGTACATTGGATGTGAATCAATGGAGCACCTTCTCCTGACTCCTCTGAACCATGCCTAGCTATGCTCTCACTCCTGGATCTTCAATATACCAACTCAAGGAACATGTTTCATGGACCTTGGTGGGGCTTCCTTCCTAAGGAGAAACACAGGATTCCAGAATCACAACAGAACACAAGAGACTGGGCCTTAGAAGGCTCTGCCTTCTCATTGGCTAGATTCCCCTCTCAGCCCTGACTCTCATAGGCTCTCAGCCGTGCCTGTCTGGGACACCTTGTCTATATAAGCCTCCAGAATCAGCTGAGCGACTTCTCAATGGGAGGGTGATCTCTGTTGTCTCTGCTTCACTTCTACCTTCTGCAGTGGCTGTCTATTTCTTTTGTGTCTTATTCCTAGTAAACAAGGAAAGGCGAGTTGATTGTTGTGGTGCAGACCTGCTAACCAAAGGTTTTAAACCCCAGACTTTATTTATTGTCTTGGTTGTGTTTGAGCCATGGCGTCCGAGAGCCCCTGGAGGAAGCTTCTAAGTGAAGCCACCTGCCCCAGCTGTCTAGAATACTTTACCGATCCCATGATTCTAGACTGTGGCCATAACCTCTGCTTTCCGTGCCTTGCCTACCTCTGGAATGACTTTCCCACCACGGCCAGGTGTCCTCGGTGTGCAACGGCGATCTCTCCGAAAAACTTTAAGGTGAACTTGCAGCTGGCCAACATGGTGGAGATAGCCAAGGAGCTGAAACCAGAGACGAGAGAGGAGGGGCGCTGCCTGCACCACGGGGAGCCCCTGAAACTCTTCTGCAAGGACGACAAAGCCCCCATCTGTGTGGTGTGTGACAAAGCTGTGGAGCACCGCGAGCACAAGGTTGTCCCGGTGAAGGAGGCAGCCCAAGAATACAAGGTGGGAGTTGTCACCGTTACACAGTTCTCCTTGACCATCTTTTTTTATTATTTTAAAGGTAGGATCAAGCATTACGTGTTTTGGAGAAGCGTAAGGTTGCAGAACAGGAGAGGTGGAACATGGGCTGCTGTTGCTTTCCAGCTCTTCATGGCTTCTTCTATGATTCCAGATTGGCCTGTTCCACCTGCTTCTGAGTAGTCCCCTTTGTGCAGAAAGCAATTCGTAATAGGCCATGAAAGGACACTGGGTGACCCTAAAGACATTATTTCCAGCCTCACCTGCCTGGCAAAATGAATGTTAATAGGATAACACTGGAGAAATATAGATATGTGAATGCTTCGTTTACCTCTACATGAGACAGGTGGACCTAAGCATTACAACTAGGTAAATCGATTAAGCAAGGCAAATAAATCCTAATGTGATTTGCATGTATAGACCTTTGGTCTAGATGGGCAGGGTAGAAATCCAATAAAATAAATGTATTCTTATTTTTCAGGGTAATAATTATCTTGCTTCAAGAACTGAGAATACTTTACTTTTAATTATATGTGCAGATTTTGGAAGGGCAGATGTTTGTTCCTGAATTATTGTGGAAGATTCTTTTTTAGTCTCTGGTTGAGGAGATAATGTAATTAAATACATACATGCTTCAAATCCTCAAGGTTCGACAGTTGAGCACACACTCCAAGTAATCCTGTAGTTTCTTTAGTGTTGTATTCTTAAATAGCAATCCACAGAGCAGTCTTTTTGAAGGTTTTTCAAATAAGTTGTCCATGTTTTCTGTATTGAAAAACAGGTTCACTTCTGTTTTTAATTTCCTGCAGTGAGTGTGGTTACACCTGTGTCAGATTATAACACAGTGAACTGACTACTCTTTAAATACACCAGGAGTCAAGATACTTTTTTATACTAGATTTTCTAGGACCTCCAACCTGCTGGGAGTTGTAGTTCCCCAAAATGTAATTTTCTCTGTTCTGACCAGGGAAGTTAATTGGATCATGGGATAACACTGGAAATGAAGGGATATTAAAGAAAAATAAGAGGGTTCCAGACAGGCAGAGTGAAATGTTTTCAGTGGGAGATGTAGAACACATAATATTATAGCTCTTGCTATGATTATTACATTCCTTTCCTGCCTTTCCTCAAAGCAGCTTACTTTTATTATGTTTTAAAAGCAATAGTAAAACTGGATTCAATACAGAGTACTACTCTGCATCATGTTGAATCACACCAAAAAGAATGCATGCCCTACTGCTGTGCCAGAAAGGTGCCTGGCAGCTCTTAAAGGGGCAGGATTGATTGATCTGAGTAGAAATGTGTGTGAGTTCCCACATTCGGTTTGGACAAAATTGTACCAATAGTGATCCATATACAGGACAGGCTTACAGGTAACATGCTGGTTCTGAAGGAAGACAGGGAAATCTCCCCTTGCCCATCATGTAGGGCTTTAAGGGTTTGAATGAGGCTTTCCCAGGGCTCTCCATAAATTGGATTAGACCTGAGAAAGTGGGGCAGGGTTTCTCCTCCTCAGAATAAAGCATGAAAAAAGGAATTAAATAGGATTTTGTTCCTTTTTTTTTCTTTCACCATTAGACCTGGAAACACCTGGAGACTTTAAAAAAGGAGCTAGACAACATGCTGGCAAGCAAAAGACAGACAGAAAAGGAAAGCCAAGACTTGTTGGTAAGTGTTCACTATTTGAGAGCACAAAAGTAGTGAATTGCATTTAAATAAAATATGGTTGGACTATGATTTCCGGAATTCCCTATCCACCTGTGCCATTTTTGGTTAAAAAAAAAACCTATACTTTTTTAAAGTTCTTCAAAACCTGTAATTAATATTGGGGGAAACAGAATATGAATTGCAGAGCTGTTATTTTAAGTTTCCACTTCTCCCCCCCCCTTCCAGGACTCTACCTTCAAATCTATTCTCACGCTATCTTCTTTCAAGTCTTGAGGATAGGTCTCGGCTGCCTGGCTAACCAAAAATCACAAAGATCCATTTTCTGACTTTCACATGACCCCCCCTCTTGATGTTGACCGTGTTCTGAACACGGAAATTAGCTAACTCCTCTTCCCATTCTGTTGCAGAAGCAAATGAAGGCAGTGAGAGAAAAAATGAGGCATGAATTCGGTCAGTTACACCAGTTTCTGATAGAACAAGAGAAGCGACTGCTGGTCCGGATGGAAGAAGCCGAGGAGGAGATTGCAGGGAAAAGAGACGAACATCTGGCCAAACTCTCAGAGGAACTTGCTTCTCTTGAGAGCTTCCTCCAGGAGATGGAGGAAAAGCAGAAGGAACCAGGCAGTGAAATCCTGCAGGTGAGGCCTGCTCCGGAGGTAGAAGAGCAGAGTGTGCCCAGTGGGTCTTAACCTTTGTTACTCAGGTGTTTTTGAACTGCAACTCCCAGAAACCCCAGCCAGCAGAGCTGATGGTGAAGACTTCTGGGAGTTCCAGTCCAAAAATATCAGAGTAACAAAGGTTAAGAACCAGTGCTTTAGACCAGTGGTCCCCAACCTTGGGCCTCCAGATGTTCTTGGACTTCAACTCCCAGAAATCCTGATCAGCAGAGGTGGTGGTGAAGGCTTCTGGGAATTGTAGGTCAACAACATCTGGAGGCCCAACGTTGAGGACCATTGCTTTAGACGACAGAGGCAACCAATTTGATCCCCTCCCACCTAACCCACTGATGGCAAGGAAACAGTTGGGACCCTGGCAGAGGGGGGAAAAACAACTAGCCGGGTTCCTGCCTTAATGTTGCAATTCTCTGGGACACTTAGTTTTCAAACATAAGTTGTCGTACCCCAATGGCAAGCACTTCCTCACTTTATCTCCAGATACAACTGGCAGGAGGAGAAGGGGACAACAGAGGATGAGATGGTTGGGCAGTGTCACTGAAGCAACCAACATGAATTTGACCCAACTCCGGGAGGCAGTGGAAGACAGGAGGGCCTGGCGTGCTCTGGCCCATGGGATCACGAAGAGTCGGACACGACTAAACAACAACAACAACTGTAAAAGATTGGCCTCTGAAAGTCCTTGCCACTCAGGGGAGAGAGATGTTATAGATAACGTGTCATTATGAAAGGAAAATCCTGATTGTGTGCGAGAGCATCACAGCAGAACGTCTTCCACCCAACTGGCTTGCTTTGTTTTGTGAATAAAGCGCAGGATTCTTTCGGTGCGATTTCTCAGCCCACAAATACCTGCATTTGTGAATAAAGCGCAGGATTCTTTCGGTATGATTTCCCAACACACAAATACCTGCATCCCTTCATGATTCACGTGCTTTCCATATCCATTTCTGCATGAAGCATAGACCAGGGTGGGCAGAGGCCAGACTTGCAGGAGAGCTTTTGATTTTTTTTTTTAAATTAGACACCACATCTGCCAGTGTGAATCAAAAGACATACCCTTAGAATCGGATCCTTCCTCATATAGGAATGAGTTTTGAATCCTGAACAGACCATCTGTCACTGTTTTGGTTCCTTTTCTTTAAGAGGTGGTGATCTGGGGCACTACTGAGGGGAAGGGAATCTATAGGACAAGCATGATTGTAAAGCATAGAATTTGTCATCTTTCCACTGCACTGAAATTGCATTTGGTTTCAATTATTTCATTAAATTTGTCTGCATATTTTATAGGAGTGTTTTGTATTTTGCTTGACGTCTTTGCTTCACTGTGGAGTTTCTGGATATCTATTTCAGCAGGAGAGTGTATATTGCAGTGTGTGCAGTATGAAACATATCCCTTAAGTTTTGTTCTCTCTTTCTCTCCAGGATGTTGGAAACTTCTTGCTGAGGTAAGTGAAAACAGCTGTTAATGGAAGTAGAAAAGCTATTGTCTCCCATGTAAAGGAACAAGATCTTTATTTTCATGCGGAGAGAATTTTGGATTCTATCCTATCTAATGTACCGTATTTCTTTTAAAAACCCACCTTTTATTTTTAGAAAAAGGCTCTGCAAGTATACAAAGCTGATTCCATGAAAACCATAAACAGATGGCAACGTTTATTCTTAAAGCTGAGTAGATTTAGTGCATATAGGATTCTATAGAACTTTTTTTAAAGAGTTTTTTTTAAAAAAGGCAGAATCTTCCATTGTCAAAGATACTTCCATTGGCCTTTTACTTTTAACAACTCATCATAAGTCCAAGTGTGTTGCAAGAGGTAGATACCACACCTGCAGACACCTACATTTCACTCACCTGGAGGAAGGCCTAATTCAAAGACTTCTTAGCCTAACTCCAGCCAAACTTCCTGTCTTAGCCTAACTCCAGCCAAACTTCCTGTCTTAGCCTAACTCCAGCCAAACTTCTGGTGCTGTCAATTGGAGTCCAAACGGAAAATGCCTAGTACTCAAAGCTGTATTTGCTGTGAGGATTAATGTAACTTTTAAAACACCTTTCTAGCTGTGCTGTTCTAATTCAAAGATGTGCTGGATAGTATGGGTTTGAAGGGGCAGCAGTCCCTTGAGGTGAGAGGCAGTACTAGAGTGGTTAGCCGCCTAGAGTGGTCTTAACCGACCAGATAGGCGGGATATAAATAAAATAAATAAATAAATAAATTACTAGCTAAAATCAAAGAGAACAGCCAAAAACAGAATGGAGAAGAGGCACAGTTAGTGGGGAGTTAACATTATGCCGATTCCAAGCCTCCTTCAGGTCAGAGACACAGATAGTATGCTGACAGAAATTTAGGTCAAGAAGAGTGTACGCCTAAGTACTTTTTTTAGCATTCTTAGACTGGGAAGGTTTGGATTCAGTATGGCTTAACAGCAGCTTAATTGGCCCTCAGCCCATCTTGGCTAGTTAGCATTGCCCTCTCGCTCCACAAATGTCCTGGATCCTGCCTTTTCCCATGATACTCTGATCTTGTATCTCCCATATAAATCCATGTTGTGGAGAATTAACACCAGGAATTGAGATATGACCTGGAGGGACACTGAGCTGACACTGTTTTTCTCATCCAGGCGTCAGAGAAGGAAACTGAATCCCGTGGCTTTTCCTCCTGAGTTGAAATGGCTGATCTGGGACATCTGTGATATAAATCCCTTTCTGGAAGGGGTCATGAGGCCATTCAAAGGTAATGAGAAATAGCTGTAGGATCCAGGATTTTATCCCATGTGTGTATAAGGTTCTGGGTCATTTGCAATGTGATCAGGGGCAAGAAACTCTCAATTTGAATACCAACTGCAAAATAAATTGTTTCACTATAGAAAGTGCTCTGGGAAAACATATTTTCAGCCATACTCAGCACTGCATCCTTCAGCGTCTTTTACAATGTTCATCTTTTATCTGCAGTTACTCACTTGGTGCTTTAAAGGCTGAAATCCTGTTGTTTAGCATCGTAAGTTGCACTACAGTGGGCTGGTCCAATCAGTGCGGATTTAGTGAGTCATCGCTGTAAGTTCCATGGTTTCTAATGGTCCTACCTGAGTCTGACTTAGTGCTCTGAAGAACGGAGGAGCTGACTCACCAAATCCCCCACTGATTTGATGGGCCTACTCTAGTGTGACTTACTACGCTAAGTAACAGGATTTCAGCCAAAGTTGTGCATTAACAGGCTGATGGTGACTGAATAAACATGCACACCCACACCCCTATGTGTGCCTATATTTGTGTCTGTCGGATACAGAGATTGAAGAATTGGTTCCTCAAGGCGTCTTTTGGTAGAGATGGCACCATGGTTTCTCTCAGACATCTTTCTTCCCTTGGGTAAAATTCATCATATACAATATTTTTTTTTGAGGCCACCATTTTTTCCTTGACTTCCCAAAGCCCCAGAACAACATGGTCTCTTTGACATATATTATAAAAATGGAAGAGAGGATGCTGAGGGTAATAAACCACCCAGCTGCTTAGTGCTGAAAGTAAACCTTCCCACTAACGGGAACGAAGTTTGGGACATCTCCCCACCTCAAAACCCAGCAAATAAAACATACCTGTCCCCATACTGGGCCTTATTCTTCCTATCCAAGAGATTTATTTCAAGAATAAGTTTGTGGAATCCTCAGTCTTGTCCGAATGAACACGTGTTATAATATCAGCTCTTGTTAGCAGGAGAAGTATTAACATGATACTGTGATGCTGTGTCTCTTTTTTTCCAGACACCCTGGTTTCAGGACTTCACCAGCAAAAAGGTAAATTGCAGGTTGTGATAACCCAGATTTGTGGGTGGAACAGGGATTTTCTTCTGCAGTACCTGGACTTTGGGAAGATTGAGGTTCCTTTTCCTCATTTAACTTTTCCTGGATGAATACTTCCACCTTTTCCTCACAAGACTCATTCAGTTTTAAGGAATTATTACTTCCTGAGAAGTTTCAGTCATCTGACTTCTCTGTATGGTGAGGGATTCAAGGCTACCAAAGTTTTGTGGTTCTCTGAAGATCTTTTTGTGGTGGTTTGTAATGTCTGGATTATGAGTGTTTGCTGATAGTATTCAAAAACCCACCCAAACCACAGAAATAAGGTCTCATCCCGGTGAAGAATTTTGTCTTATTTGAGGCACCTGATTGAGTACTAATGATACTGCAGTTTCTCCCACCATCCATATGATGTTTTTGTCTTTGTTAGAGCAGTGACAATATCTAAGCCTTTCAATGCTGTTTCTGGCCCCTCTGGCCAAAAAAGAAAGTAATTTCTTAAGTCTGCTTAATTTTTACAGTTTTAAATGATGATAACTACAGATGTATAGATAATGCCCATGAAGCGATGTGAATATTCAAAAGTGTGATGGCAAGTGTATCAGTCGTTGTCTTTATTGACGTTGTCCCTCTTGATGATGAAAAGAAGCAATATCAGTTTGAAAAGGGCATCCTTCTCTCGTCATGTCAGGCAAAATTCAAAAGAAAAATGTATATTTGTCTCCTGCTGATGCTATTTTTCTTTTTCTCTCCTGTCTCCCACACCTCCTGCAGTAAATGTTCACTTGGATCCACTCACAGCGAACCACTGGCTGATTGTGTCTGAAGACTGTAAAAGTGTACGAGAGGGAAGTGAGTGTCAGTCCCTACCCGACACCCCGGAGCGATTTGATATGTGTGGCCTTGTGCTGGGGTGTGAGGAATTCACCACCGGCAGGCACTTCTGGGACGTCGGTGTGAGCAGTGAGGAGCAGTGGTCTGTCGGGGTGGCCAAGAAGTCTTTGAACAGAAAGGGAGATCCCACTTTTGGTTCCGAGGAAGGAGTCTGGGAGTTTGGGAAGTGGGGAGGCAAATATAGGGCCTACGACCCCCCAGCTAACACGGTCCTCTCCTTGGGCGAGAAGCCCAGTAGGATCCGAGTGGCGCTGAACTACGAGGGGAGACGGGTGGCCTTTTACGATGCGGACAGAGGAGCCTTCCTTTATGCCTTCACAGCCGCTACCTTCAGCGGAGAGACGGTTCAGCCATGGTTTTATGTGACTGAGAAAGCCCACCTAGTAATTTCTCCTTGATGGTGATGAGAGAGAGAGAGAACAAAGGAATTGGGAACGTCTGTCTCTGAAGATGTTGGACTACAACTCCCATCAGCACTTGCCACCAGAACCGGTGGTGAGAAATGATGGGAGTTGCAGTCCAATGCCTGGAGGCCTTCACAGTTCCTCACAAGCCCCGATGTATGGAACTTTACTCCAGTTCTGACATATGAAGTACACACTAAAAATGGTTCACTTTTCCTCATTGGAAGCAATATTTGCATGATAGTGATTGGCTGGCCTAGGTGGCAATCATGAAGAAATCTCCCCCTTCAGAGCATAGTTGCGGACAACTTCGATTGTCAATTAGACTTAAAAAAAACTTTTTTCTATCCCTGTCAAAGTGTGACAGCAACAATTAGGGGGTAAATCTTAAAACATAAACAAAGCCCAGGATACCTTTGTAGTAGATACAGATTTCTGAATCTCTCCTTCTATGGTTTTAATTTACACACACACACAAGACCATGCAGGAAATATTTTTTTAAACAATGGGTGGGAAAAAACAAAGAGGGAGGATGGTTGAAGCCTCTCTCGCTTGTGTTTTGATCATAATCTAGAGATGTGGGTTACATGCTTTTACAATAGAGAGAAGCAGAAGAACAATCTTAGGAGCATAGTACATATTTAATTCTGTAGTTTCTCTCTAAAACTTCATATTTCTACAACCTCCATAAGTTTGTATCTCTTTCTGTTGTCCTTCGGCCTAATAACTCTGGAAATGAACAAAACACAATTAATTCTTTGATGATAAATGAGGTGGGATTCTAAGCAAAACGCATTCTGTATATTCAAAGAAATACCTCCGCCTGTTTAAGTCACCTTGGACATCTCTGAGGGACATTACAAAGGGAGAACTATTAGGTGCTGGGGGTAGACGTAATTTTGCCTGTTAGATGAGCTACAGTTAATTGTGGAGCAGATCCAGGTTTTCAGACAGCCCATCTGTTTGCCTTTTAAAAATATCTGACAATTTTTCATCTTAATTTGCCCAAATATTTTGTTACAGACTGCAATGCATATTTATGGCAGACTAGTATTTTAATTGCCAAATCTTGGGTGTTTTATGTTGATTTTTATACTTCTATTAAAGGCTTATTTTTCAGTTGCTCCTGTGTTTGTCTTCATCCTGAAACAGGCCACAGCCTCATAAATTCACATTTAACTCTTTCTTAAAAGAACGTCAGGGAAATGGACAAGGTGCTACTCCTATTTAACATCTCAACTGGGCTAGGTTGGAATGAGAAATGGTACCTTGGCTGGAGGAGTGGGGCCCAGAAAATCCAGTCATGGACGACCTTGCTCTCAGCCTTTGTCAGCTCAAAGTCATGGCTTCCTTGACTAAACATTCCTTTAGTTGTTGGAGTGTCTTCCTTAAAACATCATCCTGTGCCACCCAATCCTCTCAGGTCATGCCCCTACCGGTTGCTACACCAAGGGAGGCCAGGAAGATACCTGGTAGAAACTGGACTTCCTTGATTGTGGCCCCTTCCCTATGGAATGGGCTCCTGGTAGATCTGGCCCCTGGCCCTCCCTCCCTCTCAGCCTTCAAAAGGATGCTCAAAACAAAACTGTTAATGGAAGCCTTTGAGAGCATCCTGACTATGCACTCAATGGCTATCTTGATGTTCTCCCATTTTGCCATCATTTTTTAAATTAGCTGTTTGTTTATATGTGATTAATTATTTCTTAATACAGTATATTTTATATTTTATGTTCCTTTTACTGTGGATGTAAACTGCCCAGAGTTGCGCCCAGCACTAACTGGACAGTATATAAGTTGATGACATAAATAAAATGTCCCAGATAAGTCAACATTACAATAGTGAATAAAGGTGGGCACGAACCGGTTCGTGCCGGTTCGTTTAGCATCCAAACAGATGTTCAGCCCTTCCCAGCCCCGCCTCCTCCAGCAGACACCCATTCAAGGGCAAGTGCCCAGATGGAGCAGGGCAGGGAAGCCTGGTTGCTGCCTCCAAGTGGACACCTGCTGGAAGAGGCTGGGGTGGGAAGTCCTCAACCCGTTAGGCAGATAAACGAACTGGCACGAATCAACAGTTCGTGCCCAGCTGTGACAGTGAATATGACTTTTTCAAACGACATCAAAACACCATACACAAACCCCATCTGATTCTTCTCTGATTTCTGTCTAACTGGTTGAGAATCTGGGGATCTCTTACCATAATCTGACTCCTCCCTCAGCAATCTTTTATGCTTTAGCTTTATCAGGGTGAGACTTTATCCTTGCCTCTGCACCCACCCACCCATGAACTGCTTCAGTCATTTCTTCTATCCAAAGCAGGCAACCTGACTGGAGGCAAGGGAATATCCGGGAGCAGCTATGGAGGGACTGAAGGAGGCAACACAACAGGGGTGGAGTGGGGACCAAGAACGAGCAGAAGATAATCTTGGACCTCTTTCTCTTGACCGCCTCATCGTCCTCCCTTACTTGAAAAAAAAAAAAAAGATTCCTTCTATCCCTGGAAGACTATTCAAAGAGCATTCATCATTTTACTCCCTTTCTCCACTATTAATGTCCTGCTTCTTGGGGAAATAGAGCTCAAGTCCTTTACCGTACAGAAGAACTGAGCCACAAGGTGAGCTTCTCTGCTGCCTGTCTACAACCCTTGTACATCAGGAAATACGTTGGGTTTTGGCTGCTGCTTTTTCATGCAAGAAAATGACACAACTAGTGCTTAAAAAGATAAATTTAATCTTTAAAAACAGCTAATGTTCAGAGACCAGTGCTTCTGCTTTCCACAAGCAAGGAGTATAAAAACAAACGACTGCATTACTGTGAATGTTACATGCACAGACAACCAAAATAGCGCTGCAAAACACATATTGAAAAAGGGATGTTCAGAAACTCACAATGGGTTGGTACTCATAATGAGGCTATTCAGAATAAAATGGGGTAAAACCTGGACTTGAGAACAGCAGCTCTTAGAGCCAACTTCTTTGTGTGCAAATATGTTGAAGATCAACACCCAGCCCTCCGCGGCAGAGGAAGAAGAAAGAACAAGGCTATTTCCTTGGAAATGGGTGACCTAACAAGGATGCGACAATTGCTACCTGCAAAGATCATGACAAGCGACACCACTTGATTACCTGTAAGGCTCTCAACCCCTCCTTTAAATATAGCATTGCCTCATGTATTTTAACAGTGCTGATGTTCCCTGATAAGTGGTGTTTTTGTCAAAATGTTCCTCTTCTCTGGATTCTAAAAAGGGAGAGCGCAAGAACTTCTTGTTTAGAGATTCAAGGCTAAAGCAACACAAATGCCCTTGGACTGAAAAGCAGCCACACAATCCAGATCTTTGGAGTTCAGCTGAAATGGCTTCTTCAGGGCAAGCAAAGGTTGATTTTAAAGAACAAGTGATCAGGTTCCATGCAGGTGGCTTCTGTGGCACAACACCAAAAGTAGGATTGGTTCTAGATACGATTTTGATGACCAATATGTATTATCTTTTGAGTCTGGTCACCTAAAACCGGTTCATATCTCTGGTGCAGAAAGCTGAGCTGCATCAAACTATTACCATAGCATGGGTTACCCCATATTGCTGTTATATAGCAACTGCCCTGGCTGTTATCCTGTAGGAATCTCATGGAGCAGTGGTTAAACTGCAGTACTACAGTGAAGACTCCGCTTGTGACCTGAATTTGATCCCAATGGGCTTAGACAGCCACTTTTAAGGTTGATTCAGCTTTCCAAGGTCAGTAAATTGGTATTCAGCTGGGGTGGGGGGGAAACAGAGTGTAACCTACATAATTAAATTCTAAACCAGCCAGAGAGTGCTTTAAGTGCCACAGGGTGGTATATAAGCAGCATACAGTGGTGCCTCGCATAACGAGCGCACCGTTTAACGATGAATCCGCATACCGATGCGGATTTTGCGATCGCTAATGCGATCGCATACCAATGTTTCTTCGCATAGCGAGGGGGGAACAGCTGTTCGGCGGTGGCCGGAACACCCAAAATGGCCGCCGGAACACCCAAAATGGCCACCGGAACATGGGGAAACATCGCAGAACGGTGAGTTTTGGGCCCATTTGGAATGCATTAAACAATGTTTAATGCGTTCCAATGGGTTTTTTTGATCCATATAGCGATGTTTCCCCATAGCGAAGGTTAATCAGGAACGGATTAACCTCTCTATGCGGGGCACCACTGTACTTTGCTTTATCTGCTATTTTTCTGCTTCCTCTATTCAGAAGCAAGACGCTGTTTGAATAGTCATCAGCCTTACCTAAGTGATCTTCTATGACCTATCGTACCATGTCACTATAGTCCTGACTAGAAAGTTTGCGAGGACTGCTGATTTTTCCATCATGGACTGCTTTGGGTTCTCTTTTATTATAACATGTTCTGTTGCTTACTGAAGGCAGGCAAGGTACAAAGACATGCATCAGAACCTCCCAAGTCTACGTTAGTATCTCTCTGTGCAAGAATCCCATGAGATAGAGAAGAAGAACTGAATAGTGGATGGGTTTATGATTTTTTTGTTTATAGTTCATAGTATGTTGTTTGTTAACCGCTTAAAGTAGTGCTCAGCAGTAAGTCAGCAGTAAAGAAATCTATGAATTAAATTCCATCCTGTGGCAACAAAGGTATTTAATAAGGCTATTTAATAATGCTAATAAATCCCTTCCTGAAGATAATTCAGTGATGCAAAATGCTGGATGCTATATGAGTGTTCAAACTGAGAGAAAAGAAAAATATTAAGGTTTCTCTCTCAGTGACAGAGTGAATGCTAAGTAGATGCATAGGTGGTCTGTCCCATAATACACCAAAAATAAATAAGGCTAGACAAACCTTCCTAGCATCTACTCTCAATAACCCTGCCCGTGGTTATCTGGGCTAGTCGGGTATTAAGAAACGATGCTTGGTGGAAACCAGACACATATAAGGATTCTCCATTATGCAAGTTATTTCTTGTCTAGACTTTTTCTGCAAAGACTGGAGTTCTCCGCACTGCCCTCTGCACACCATTTACCACTGTGTGGGTTCTCTGCAGGAAAGATAAACTGACTTCATACTGAAGTCCTTTCTACATTCCTGTACAGTGGTGCCTCGCATAACGAGGATTCTCCATTATGCAAGTTATTTCTTGCCTAGACTTTTCTGCAAAGACTAGAGTTCTCCGCACTGCCCTCCGCACACTTTTTACCACTGTCTGGGTTCTCTGCAGGAAAGATAAATTGACTTCATAGTGAAGTCCTTTCTACATTCCTGTACAGTGGTGCCTCGCATAACGAGCGCCCAGTTTAATGATGAATCTGCACAGCGATGCGGATTTTGCGATCGCAATGCGATGTTTAAATAGGCAAAACATCGCATTGCGATGATCAGTAAGCATTTCGCTTACCGATCTTCGCATTGTGATGTTTTAAAACAGCTGATGGGCAGTTCCAAAATGGTCGCTGGATCAACAAAATGGCCGCCCACAGTGTTTTCACGCCGATTCCTCGCTTACCGAGGCGGCGAAAATGGCGGCCCTATGGAGGATTTCCGCTTAGCGGTGAGTTTATTCCCCATAGGAATGCATTAAATGGAGTTTAATGCGTTCCTATGGGGTTTTTATTTCTGTGTAGCGATGTTTCCGAATAGCGACGATTTATCCGGAACGGATTATCATCGCTATGCGGGGCACCACTGTATTCATATGGTCTCTTCCCCCTGTGAGTTTTCTGATAGTGACTGAGTGTCTTATCTGAGTGTGAATCTTCCTTTCCCAGAAAGAAGAGGACAGAATGATTCGGGACTTAACCAGCAGCATGCGCTGCATCACTGTTAAGCCAAACTGACTCCTACACTTTGTTACCTACGGAGTTCATTTACTGCAATGCATCAACAAAGGGACTTGGGAACAAACCTATTCAAAGCCCTCCACCCATTTTGTTTAATTTGTACCGGGGAACTGAAATCTCTGTCTTGAGGATGTCGAACCCAAGCTTTCACTTCAGTCTTAACTGTTTCTGCCTTCCTGAGCTCTTTGAAATCGCTTGACACAGACTGACTTTCCACCATGCTTCTACCAGTTCCTTCTTTGACCAGTCAACGGTCTTCTTGCAAGTGCTCTTGGCTTGAACCTCAGAATTCTGGATAAC